GCCTCTTAACTCTTTTGGCCTGTCATCCTGGCTGTCAGACTGGGTTAGGGACTGTCAGGATGCCAGACGGTTGATGGAGCAGCTGGTTAAAGGGTCACTGTCCTGGACCCATCCCGCCCTGCAGCCAAGGGCACCTGCTTGGCACAGACTTTCAGCAGCCACTGGGTCTTGTGGCCTGACTGACCAGCATTGCCTCAGTTGAGGAAGTTGGGCAGAGTTGGACTGGTAACCTGAAGGGAGGAAGATACCACAAAGTTCATCCCTCCCAAGAGGGTTTTGGGATTTGCAGGTTCTCACCCCTCTTCCTAATCTTTCTGCCTGAGTGTTGGAGATTCCAAGGCTCGACCACGTTGGCCCCCTTACTTTGGTCATGCCCTTGGACTGAGTGTCAGTGTAGACCCGCCCTCCCCAGCTCACGGGCCCTCAAGCCTGCCACGCCCCCAGCCCCCTCCCTGGGCCATGCTGCAGGGCCTGGTTTTTCCTGCTGATTCATGCGTTGGAACTGTGGGGGCGGGGCTTGGAACTTGGAACAAAGTTCAGACATGGAGGGGCCGGCAGACAGCCTGGAATTCATACCAGATGTACCCGGAATGCGCAAGCGGAATGCCTGGCATCTGAGAGTCCTGGGGAAGCTGCCCAACCACCCTGCCCATACCTCCCTCCCCTCCAGCCCTTGGTCCACTGTCCTCTCCCTCACAGTCCCATGAGTCTCTGCTGACCTTCTTCCAAAGTCTTCCTTTCCTCTCTCTTCCCCACTTCTAGGCCCCCAGAACTCTCCTTCCAGCAGAACTCCCTTTGGAAAAAGTCAACTGGGCTGATCCCTAAACTCACTTTTCTGAACCTAACTTCTCACCTAGTGCTAGGATGGTCAGCGATGTGCAGAATCTCAGGTCTTATCCCTACTATCTGGGAACACTGAAGAGACCGGGACTCTGGTCAATGCTGGTACAGTGGGGTGAGGGCAGGCTTGGGTTTCTGTAACCTCCAGTTCTGTGAGAAGGAACAAGGGAAATATGCTTAAAGCATTTTCTTCTCACCAATGTTTAACAGCTACAGGCCCAAGTAAAGACTAAGAGCCCTTCCTGAGAAGACTGAGATGCGCTTTGATGGCCAGAGGGACAGTATCTCTGTGACATAGTCCTGCTCATGAGGCTTTCCCATTTTTCTTCCCCTTCCCTCTAGGAGCCTGTACCTCCCACATCCTTACCTGGCTGAGCCGCAGTAGTTCTTCAGTGGCAAGCTTTATGTCCTGACCCAGCTAAAGCTGCCAGTTGAAGAACTGTTGCCCTCTGCCCCTGGCTTCAAGGAGGAGGAGGAAGAAGAGGAGGAGCTGCTGAGACCCACTGGAAGGTGACAGAACTAGACTTGGGAAGGTCTGAGCACTGCCGGTGAGAATGTGTTTTGAGAAAGGGAACCTTACTCAGCTGGGGAACCTTAGCCCACATTGGCCCTATGAGAGAGCAGTTTGAGAGTAGAGACCATGACTGAGGTGGAGAATTGATAGCTCAAGCCAAGGTGAATTGATTTTTGTGTGATATCTGGGAGAAGTAGAGAGAAGAAATCTATCTGGTCTTTTATGCAGATTTCTTTCTTGATCCTCCTTCCTTATGTCCCAATCTTCCTTTCTGGATTTTTCAAGTGTGATCCAAAAATAAGTATGTGCTTCAGAAAGAAAAGATTCTGAAACTCCTATCTTACCTTTCTCTGTATTTCCTTAGACTGGCCCAGGTTAGGTTCTGAGGTACACATTTACATCTAGATCCTGAGACCTCTAGCCTAAACTTTTTTCACTGTGAGATGAGAAATTACAATGAGAGACTGAAGCCCAGTCTAACAAATTCAGAACCTGCTGTCTTAGCTCCTGTGGATGGAAATAAAACAGCTTTTCATATAAGCTGATGTTCTTGCTTGCCTCACACCTTTGACCGTAACTCCAGGATCTCTCAGAACTGGTGGGGGTCAGGAATAGGATATTGCAAAGGGCTCCCGGGAGCACTATCACTATGCAGACTTCCTTCTATGCAAATATGGTCACAGGTGTCCCATCACCTGTGCGCAGGCCCACAGCCTCAGGTGGGGTTACAGTTGATGCATTGCTACTTCCAGGATTGTGTGTGAGACTGTTTAGGCCTGTGCAGGCAGAAAATTATCTCCTCCAACCACTAGGGAAGATGAGCTGTAGGACTGATACTTTTGAGGCCTCAGGCACTGAAGCCCTATTGCCTCTCAATTCCTGATCCAGTCTCATTCTTGGGATCAGGCTCTGATGTCATTTGGCTTTGGCAGCAGATTCTCTGCCTGACGGCAGCCAAGTTCTGAGGCTCCTGGAAACTTTATTCTGTTGGAGGAAAGGAGATGTTCAGAGGGAGTGGTTAGTTTCTTCGAACTGGGAAATGAAAAGGTTTAAGGGAGGATAGACCACTGAACACAGCCATTCTGCAGCCTAGGCTAAAAGGGGGTGACCTGTGTGTGGGATAGTGGGAGATTGGGTGGGGAGACTGAGGCAGCATCAAAGATTGCTCTGTCCCTCGACATTGCTTCCTTCCTTTCTCCCCCTCCTTACTTCATTGGCCACAGTGTCTCTCCAGCCCTGCGCCTGTGGCCCTATCATCCTGACCCACCATGGAGCAGAGGTGTGGAGGGCCAGCCTGGAAACACAGAGGCAGGCAGAAGGCCAATGAAGGACCAGGCTTGGAGAGCACAGGGTGCTGCCCAAGCACTACACAGAGGAAGCCCCTTGAGGTCATAAACGCCAGGAGAAGGGAAGGCAGCTAACTTCTATCAAGGACAAGCTTCTAGCCATCTCCTGCTTTACTCAGCACGTCTCTCCAGTGTCTCTGCCTCCCCAGTGTGTGGAACCATATTAAATAAACCATCCTGTGGCTTCACCCTCCTGCTTCTACCTCCTCCCTGTAATTTTTAAATGAGTGGTTCAAAAAGTAAGAGCCAGCTGGAAAAGGATGTGTACAGGAAATTCTTAAAAGAAAACCATGGGGGAAATGTGTTTGATTCATTAGTGATTAAAAGCAGATAGACCTGAAAGCACTTTTCCCTTATCAAACTATAACAGAAAAAAGAAGACTTAGCATTGGGAAAGGAGTCCGGAAATGACACTCCCGTACATTTCATATGGGGCTGTAAATTGGGACAATCTACTTGAATAGCATTTTGGTAAAATGGATCAAACAGCCAAAAAGTTCTCAAGGTCTTTGACCTAGTAAGTAATTCAACATTTGGGAATCCATCCTAAGAAAACAATTATGGATTTCAGTATAAGATGTTCATCTCAGGATTGCAATAGAGATAAATGGGAAGCAACTGTTTGGGAATTCATTTTTTTCTGCTGTAATGAAAATTTGCAATAGGGGATTGCTTAAGTAAATTATTGTGTATCTAACCAGATGGTGGAGTACTGTGTAGCCTACATTACTACTACATTAAAAGTCATGTAGAATAACATCTGACTAGGAAGAAAAATGTTCTTTCAGTATTAAAATAGTTACAAAAAGTGTGCATTATGGGAATCTCAATTTTATTTTTAAAAATATTTGTATAAATAAAAATGATTTTTAAAAAGACTGAGGACACAATCCAAAATGTGGAATAAAGTAATGGTAATTGTATTATTTGTGTTATCCTGTAACTTCCAAATTTTCTACATTAATCATGTACCGCTTATAATAAAATTATTTTTTAAAAAATCCATGTAATTTTTACAGTCTTTGGAAAGGTGGGTTTAGATGAGTGGAAGAGTATCCTGGCCTGTTGCTCTTAGTAGGTTCTGATGGAGGAAGTAAGTTATGGGAATGTTTTCTTAGGAGAGGTGACTATAATTTATAAGCTTGATTATTTTAGAGTAGCTGGAATACACTCTCACAAGAAATAAACTTTGAATTGCTGCCTGTCAGCCCACTAAAGAGGTATAGAGTTTAAAAAGAGCAGTAAAAGCTTGCCACCCTGTACATGGTTGTCTAGAAGAGAATTTTCCTCCTGGGATTGTCTGAAGGATTCTGGGATCCTCACAGTCCCATTGCAGAAGGCAGGATAATTCTTTGCTTTTCTCTTCTGATTCTGTCCCCACCTGGTGACCCTGTGTGACCTCCCTTTTTGCCCCTTTAAACTAGAAGAGCTTTTACTTACCTAGCAGATCCCAAACCTTGACAAAGGAGTGCTTTTCAGCACTGTGGTGACAAGTGATTTCCATTTGCAGCTTTCCTTTTAAAAAAAGACTCCTCTGTAAGGAAGTGAGGGAGTTCCCCCAGTGGGTGGCTGCTCCAAAATGGGGGCTTTTTGTTCCATGATGGAGACAATATGAAAGAAGACAAGCTCCTGGAGTTGTGGTCTGTGTTGTAAGTATGGAAATTATGAGGGAGATTACGCTTGGTTACTCCATAAAACTGAGCTCTCCCTTTTCCGACAATTGATAGCGGGCTAAAAGCAGCATGGTGGCAAATCAAGTAAGTGGGAGAGTGTGTGACATTCGCCTCTGTCCTAAAGGCTGTGCTGGTAGGTGGGAGGGGCTATCAGCAAGTGAGAGGTTATGAAATACAGAAAAGTTGAAAGGTCATAGGCTGGGGCCCCGGAAAATCAGGTGAGATTAGCTAGTAATTAATTTCTGTGTGGAGTTGGGGACATTTGGAATTACGAGGAGACTCCCAGCGACCGCCAGAATGTCCACTTGAGACCCAAAGTTGCAGGGCTTTGTCCAAAGGAACCCTAAGCCTTGGTTCCCCGCTAGGGCGGGACGCGCGGTCAATTGCCATGGCTCCAGGGGTGTTAGCCCTGAGGCTGCTCCAATCACCGCGCGGCAGAGAGATTGGGGGCGTGACCGATCCCGGGAAAAGTTACAACCAATTCCGCGGGTGGGGCCGGCGCGGGAGCCCAGGGACCCAGCCCAGGGGGGAAGCCACTTCGCAGCCGCCGCAGGGGGCGTTGGATGTGCTGGTGCTCAGAGCCCAGGGGCCAACCGACTGGTCAGGACCTAGCGGGACCGGCACACCATGGCGCCCTCGGGACTCCTCGTGACGGGCGTGTCCTTCGCTGCGTTCCGGGGACTGCACTGGGGGATGCAACTGCTGTCCGCGCCTGGACCTGCGGCGCAGGACCGATGGAAGTGGCGGAACATCTTTGTCTCTTTTGTGCACAGTCTGCTTACAGGGGTCTTGGCGCTGCTCGGGTGCGGGATTTGGGAGTTCGGGAGGCACCGGGTGGTGAGAGAGAGAAGGCTGAGGTTAAAAGTCCAGTGGGATCTTTGTGGAATCAATTTTGAGACCTTCAGAGTTAGAAAGATGGAAGCGTGGACTGGTGGGAGGGTGTGTCCAAGGAAAAAATGAGCTCGGAGTCTGCGGAATGCTGACCGTGGCTCCTCCGTCTCCCCCCCCCAAGGCTGTCGCTGTACCCTAAGATGTTTACCGACCCGATTCATGGCCACCCGCCCTGGGCCCTGGCACTCGTGGCTGTATCTGTGGGTGAGTCTAGGTGAAAGACTGGGCAACCTTCCAACAGTCATTTCAGGGCCCCTTCGCTCTTTTTCTATGGGAGGTTAAATATTATTTAGTGGCTTTATTGAGGAACATCAAAGAACTGGGAAAAAGAGGGATTCCTCTCTAAGTTTAATGCCCTCTCTCTCCTCCCGTGCTCACAGGTTATTTCCTGGCGGATGGAGCTGATATACTGCAGAATCAGACCCTGGGTCAGGCCTGGGACCTACTCTGTCACCATGTGGTGGTGAGCCTCCAAAGGGACAGAGACAGGCAGGGAGGGAGGCACACCCAGCTTGAAGTCCACAATCTCTCTTCATCTTTTTGTTCTCTGGCTACTCAGACAGCCTGTGACCCCAAATGGCCTTGGATTGAATTGGTGAGGGAGAGGGGGCTTCCACAGCTGGGAATCTGACCACTGCTTAAGGAGACTAGATCTGGTTTGGATGTCCAGGTGATTGCAAAAGCATTGACCAGAATGAAGGAGTAGGGGTAGGGTCATGGTAATTGGGAGATAGACATATACACAGGCTGCTTCCTAACTTTAGCCTAACTTCGAAGGGTCATTCTTTGCAGTAAGGGTAAGTATAAAGGTCATAAAGGTATTTGTGTGCCACCCCCAAAATACCTGGGAATCCTATCCGAGGGCCTGGGCTATTGAGACACCATGTGAGGATGCACCTGAAAGGTCTCCTGACTTCTAACTCTGGCTTGCAGGTGATTAGCTGCCTCAGCACCGCTGTTCTGTCTGGCCACTACGTGGGCTTCTCCATGATCTCTCTCCTCCTGGAGCTGAACTCTGCCTGCATGCACCTGCGCAAGTTGCTGCTACTTTCTCACCAGGCCCCATCCCTGGCCTTCAGTGTGGCCAGCTGGGCCACCCTGGCCACCCTAGCCCTCTTCCGACTGGCGCCATTAGGGTGGCTGAGTCTGTGGCTTTTCTGGCACAGTCACCGTGTGCCTCCTGCTTTGGTTCTCCTTGGTGGGACAGGGCTGGTCGTGGTAGGGGTCATGAGCATCATACTGGGTGTCCGCCTCCTGGTCAACGATGTTCTGCGATCTCGGCCCCATCCACCCACTGCTGGGCACAAGAGGACCAGAACATGTGATGGTGAGCTTGCCAGGCCTAAGCCCAGAGACAATTCCACTCTCAACCTGAAAGACTAGCGAGAGATGCCACCACCTTCTTTTCCACAGCCCTGGTGTAGGTGGGGCCAGGACAGGGAGATTGGTGGTATTTAATGGACATGCCTCCATTCGGATATGGACTAAACTGAATTTTTGGTGTGTCAGTTTCTCTTCTAGCTAACTCAGTTCCTAGGATCTGAGAGGAAAAGCTGATGTTTGTGGGTGAGCCGTAACCTGGGATATTGTTCACTAGATTCTATCATCAAATAACCACTTTTTCCAGTAGACTAACTCAAGAGGTACAGCCCATCATACCACTTATGTGGAGGAGAAAGTATGAAGCTGGAAGAAGCTGCCAAAGGGAACAGAAACCTTTTGTACAGGGTTAGTACAGAGCTAGATTAGGAAAGCTAAAGTTCCACTAGAGTAAGAGGGCTCTGCTGTAAAGGTAGAGGAGTCAGATGGAAGAGTGACTTAACCTATGACCAAATTCTGACTGTGGGAGCACAGATACCATCTACAGCTAATGGGGATAGAAAGAATAGTTGCCAAGAGACAAAAGAACCTTGCAGCAATTGCTGCTGATATTACAGGTTCTCAGTGCCATGCAGTTGTATTTGGGCCTACTCTTAGACCTACTATGTCCAGCAACTGGCTTTTTCTTTTGGCCATATTTTACTGATTTAAAGAGGGATCAGTATGAGGCTAAGTCTCTCAGCACAGTTCTAAAGTCCAAAGCCATAGGAGGGACTCGGACACTTCTCCTTGATGCCCAATGTCAGATCCTCAGAGGCCGAGACTTTCATGGAAGAATGAGGGCAGAGACAGAAGTCTGTGAAGGGACACTCCCTCTTGGCTTCAGAGGGATTAAGGAATAGCTGACCCACTTCTGGGATTTACCCACAGCCCTCCTTCCCCTGCCACTTCTACTGCATTCTTTCTCAGGGGGAAAGACTCCACCATCTGCAGCTAGAACAACCAGGTTATAAGAAATATAGAGCAGATGAAAGTTACTATTCTACAAAATAATGGATAAAAGAGATAACCTTCAATCCTCCAAAGAAAAGACACACAAAACAAGAGACAGGAAGATTCACACACACACACACACACACACACACACACACACACACACACACACATCCTTCCAAAGAGCTGAGGTAGAGAAAGATAAATTGAAAGACAGAAACAGACATATACAGATTGGGGGTGTGGGGGAAAGGAAGAATTAATTGCATTGAGGAAACAGGACAGAGGCCGAGAGGGAGAGAATCCTGGGATGAAGTACTAAAAAAATACGATCATAGATTCGGAGAACTAGAATCACAGAATTGGTAAAATGATCATAAACAGAGAAGAAAAAAAAAAAAGAAAGACTGACAGGAAGCAGCCCCCAGGAGTGGAAGGCACAGACAGTCTAGACAGTGCAGTAATAAGAGACAATGACAAGAAGGAGCAGTAAGGCTCAAAAAGACAAAGGTAATAGTGACAGATAGATTACCAGAGCCAGAGAAGAGATGGATAGAAACAGAAGAGGTGCGATTAGTCAGAGGAACTGGGAAGCAGAAGAACAGAAGGCAGAAACCTTTGTCAATGGAGAGATTCACTGACAGAGAAAAGCAGACACGATGTGGAGTTGGAGACAGGCAGAGACAAAGGAGACAAACGGTTCCAGGGAAAGTACAAAAACAGAGGCTGTAATGGAGAGGCAGAAACTGGTAGCAAGACAAAGAAAAGTCAGAATCAGAGATATAAACTGAGATAGAGAGAAGCAGAGAAAAAGAGACTTAAGGAATATCATGGAGAGGGAGAAAAGAAGTGAGGGAGGCTTAATAAATAAATACCCAAATGAGAAAACAAAGAGCAGGAGAGAACGCAGAGATGATAGGAAAAGAAATAATGGAGACATAGAGGGAAAAGAAAGAGAACATGGGGATTACGGGATATTCCAGTCATGGGAGAGAGAAAAATGAGGCACAAAGGGGACGAAAGGATAGACTGAAAAGAAACTGTTGGGAGTAGTTAAGCAGGCAAAAGAAAAGAGCGGGTTTAAATGTGTAAGACCAAAACTGTAAAAGTAAAGGTAAGAGGATTATCTAGTAAAATATGTATAAGAACCCAAGGGGAGAAGGGGTGGGAGTGGAGGGATGGAGGAGGGAGGGGCAAAACCACAGGGTTGCACAGTTAGGTGGGTGGAGGGAGGGAAGGAAATGGTGAAAAGATAGGGTAATGATAGGCAAGGTCCAATGGTGATTAATTTTATAAAATAAAATGCACGAGAATGACTGTATGAATGAGGAGTAGTGTGAAACACAATGTATACAAACTTTGTAAGCAAACCTAAAAAAAAAAAATACACACACAAACACATCCCAAAACAACAACAACAAAACACACACCAGGAAAAAGATAAAGGAAATTGAGTTAGCGTGACAAAATAAAATTTTGTCAGAGTTTGTCCTTCATAGAAGTTAATCTTTCAATTTCTATTTGCCATCTTTACTAAATGCCTTGATAAACGAGAATGTTATCTGTCTCAAGTTAAAAAAAAAGAAAAAAAATATGACAAATTCATGTGAAGAATCTGTTCTACGGAAGTGTAAGAAGAGCAATATTATCTATTCCCTTTCGTTTACCTCTGTCATAAACTCATTGTCCAAGTGAATGCCCTTTTTAGTAATACTTGATGACATATTTTGGGAAATATGGCTCTTTCTACACATTGAGTGAAATCCATAAAGGAAAGGTGAGATTAGCCATTACTGAGGCCAAGACGTAAATGTACAACTGAGTTTTGATCATATTCAATTCCTGTCCCCACGACCCAGAAATTTCCAGAAGATGGAAATGGTTTGTGGTTATAATTGAGAAAATGGAAATCTCCTTGTGGTGTATGAATCAGACAAGGATAATATCAAAGAGAGAGAGAGAGAGTTGGGATCCTAGAAAAGGGAAACTAAAAAATAAAGAAACTGGCAGACGTGATATTTTGTACAATTGAGTTCAGTTACAGGATGGTGCAGGCTCAACCTGGGCAATGAAGTACTCCTCAAAACTGACTTCTATGCCCTCATGAGCTACTTGCTGATCAAATTGTCTTCTGACAAATTGACAGAGAAAAGCCTTTCCTTGATGAGGATCAATGATATTTATGATCTTGGACTTTATCTTTACTGTTAATGAATAAATTGCTATTTTAAAAAACTACCAGCCTCTTGAGTGTGGTTACTTTTAGTCCATTTGCTCTGTTCCAATGGTGTTCTGCTTTACAGGGATCTCACATAAGGAGCTATGGTGGAATAGTGTATTGCATGTTCTATTACTAACTGAAAAGTCAGCAGTTCTAATCCACCAGTCACAAGATGGACAGTCTCTTTCCATTAAGGTTTACATGACATGTTGTTATGAATCAGAGTTGACTTTGAAGACTATGAGTTTGGTTTCCCAGATAGTGTAAACAGTTAATGCACTTGACTTGCTGACCAAGAGGTTGGTTGTTCAAGAACCCTCTTTGACAGCTTGAAAAATAGTTTAGCAATCTTCATCAGAAAAGTTAAAACCACTGAAAATCTTACTGTGTTTCTACTCTGAAACAGACAAGGTCACCGTGAGTCAGAACAAACTTGCTGACAACTATTTTCTTTTTTGCTTATTTACCTAGTTAGCTAGTGGTAGGAGCTAGACTCAAATCTGTATTTCTTTCTGTCATATCACCTGTGGCAGACATCTACTGTTTTTGCCTGGCCAGCAATTTAAAAATTCATGCTGGTCAAGATGGAGGGGAGAGAGAGAGGAAGACCTTCAGTAAAATGGAATGACACTGACTGCAACAGTGGTTTTGAGCGTATCAGAGATGATGAGGTTGGAGCAGGATAGGGCTAGATCCAGACCTGTTGCTTAAAGGGTTACTATGAGTGATAGTCTACTGTTGTTGTTATGTGCTGTCAAGTTGACTGCGACCCATAGCAGCCCTCCGTAAAACATAGAGTATGCAATCCCTGCTCTATCCTGAGCTAATCATATTATCTTTGACACACCCCTATTACTCCAGTCACTGAGTCAATCCATCTCATTGAGGGTCTTCCTCTCCTGCACTGTCCTTCCACCCTCCCAAGCATAATGTCCCCAAAGTATGTAAAAAAAAGTCTCAGAATCCTTGCCTCCAAGGACCAGCCTGGTTTCATCCTCTCCAAGATGAACCTGTTTGTTCTTAACTAGCAGTCCATGGTAATTCAGTACTCTTCTCCAGCACCACAGCTCAAAAGCATTAATTCTCCTTCTATCATCCCTAGTCATTGCCCAGCTTTTTGATGCATAACACATAATTGTGAGGATCATGGCCTGGATGAGGCACACCTTAGTCTCCAGACTGACAGTATAATCTACTGGATGATACTTAACAACAGCAGCAGCACTATAGGAAAGACTCTCTGGAAACTCTCTCTCCTTGTCCCCTATGGGCAGGGAACACAGGTCTAGCCAATGAGAACTTGTTCTTCTTTGCAAGCCTGAGCTTATGACATGAGCAGAGCCTGAGATCCCCAGTGCTGGGATTTCTGCTTTAACTTTTGGCTAAGATGCACTCTATGTGCGCTGACCCTGCTCAGGTAGTAAAATCTAAGAGAACTTTCCTTAATGTAAAGCTAATACTGAGGAGGGTAAAAGGACTCAAGGGATGAAGAATGATTTCCAACATTAAGTGAATATCTGGATGGAGCTTTGCCTGAAGCCAGAGCCTCCCTGGACCATTTAGTTATTATAGGAGACAAAATTTGTTTTCTTTTATTTGCCCATGTGTTTTTTTTTTGTTTTTTTTTCTTTTTTAGATTTTTTAAAAGATATTTGAAATACAACTTTATTCTGGTTCTAAATGAAAAGGAATGGCAGTAACAAATAAGATTTTACCATGGAATATTGTGATTTGACTGTGGCAGTCTTTCTTATTTTTTTAATGGTAAAAAGCCTGTATGTAGATCCAAATGGTGGGAATAGAAGGGTGAGGATAGGTAAAGATGAAATCACAGGGTTGCACAATTTGG